TAGTGATTATCTCAATTTCGGCTAAAAGAATTGACTAAATCCTACACACTGTGCCTTTAAGAGCTGCTTACACAAAATGAAATTGTTCGAGAGCTACTTTTTCAACATTTAATTTTAAACTTAAACCATTGGAATAAGCTTGATTTGCACAAAAAACATTGTCTTCAATTCATATGAAACCACCMCAAAGAACACTGAATTTACATAAACTGTTTGAATGACAACCAAGGGGRAGGGATATCTATAGGTTGATTGTAAGTAAATTAAAGTTTGGTTGGCCAGTGACAAATTAAATTTAGCTTCTCCCCATTTTTCATAAGCACAGAAGAACTACTTTAAATGAGCTCACGAGCTACTGGTTGGAGACCTGTGCTTTACACCATAACAGAATTGTCAAGTGGGACTTATTTTTGTATTTTTTAAAGCAAATTCATTTATGTGAATTTGTTTGTATTGATTTGACTGAGTTGAATTGAACTGACTGAGTTAAACTGGAACTGAATCTGACTGCAGCATCACTGGATTGAACTGGATCTTGTTCTTTTTCCTGACATGACTTTGAGAGCACGTTGCCATTCCCATCTTGAAAATGCTGCTGCCCTCAGGTGGCACCAGCAAACAGCTGCATCTGAGTCTGTTCTTTCTCACTCTCACTGATGCTTGATGAAGCTGCTTGTTCTATTTATTGCTGTATTTATGAACTCTCGACTGAGCTATCGTCTTAGACTGATGTGTTTTTCACTCTGCAAGGTTTTCTTGGCACTTTCCGTCCCAGCCCTTTGGCTAACACTGCATCCTCTACTCCTGCAATAATACTTAACACACATCTGTAAACTGATTACATGCTTTGATCAAGTCATTCTTTCCATAATACGGCCAGCACTTAGTTTGACTTGGCGGCCATTGTGTGAGAATGATGGATTGCTCTAAGGCATAATGTGAAATATTTGTTTTTCTGTGCTTTTGGAGTCTTTTTTAATTTGAGTGAGGTGGAAGCCATATAAAATTCCTGTGGCTCAATGTAGTCTGGGCTCTTACTTAATCATCTTGTTTTTATGATTTCCCAAGGCTTCATCCCCCATTTCTCACTTGAAATGCATCTTTACGCATGCATGTGTATCAGGGGAGAAAGACAGGCTTAATAGATCTTTCATTTTGGCTTTAATTTTATGATCRTGGTTAAGGTCACATGGAATCAAATCTACCTCTGGGCTCTCTCGGTGTTTTTGAAAGCAGCACTATAAARGGACCATTAAACGTACTTCAAACTCTTTCCAACCATCAGAGCTGCTTTTTCAGTAGCACCTTGAAACACCATGAGATCACTCTGTTCTTAAACTGTCATCAGGATGATTTCTGTTAACATGTGTGTATGTTTCTTGCAGACACTGAGAACTACACGCTGAGCTGCGGAGTACCTGTTCAGCCTGGTATGGTACAGGATTGTAAAGAACACAACATAATATGCGTTGTCATCATTGAWAAACCATCCAACTACATTAAAATGTGAACAGATGATTTGTTTGCTCCACCCTTTTGGATGTTACTCAAATCCATAGAGCAGTGCTCACCACAATATGCAAAAATGATTTTTAAATGCAATACAATAAAATCAAATTCATGACAAGGTCCAGGCATCRCTCTGATGGTTGTTGGCTGTGGGTGAGCATCCATATTTAGTTTTTACTGCTGAGTAGAAAACTCTCTGACATCTTTGTGATGCTACAGTGTGCCATCACAAAGTTGCCAGACATCAGTTACCACAAGGTACTGTWTATTATTACCTCTTAAGCCCTAAAACTAGATGTTACCCATACATACAAATGTCCTAGTAGTTATATCATCATTGTGCAACAATGTCTCCAGAGTCAAAGATTCAATGATTCGTCTTAGTTTCGAGTTAACATAAATATCCATTGTCCTGATGCATCTCAGTAATCCAGGTAGAAAAAATCAAAAAGAAAAAAATAAGTAGGTCCTCTGGATGGGTTCTTC